TTAAGAAGTTGTCTAGATGGGTATAGATTTCCTCAACTCGCCTCAATCTCCCTCCACCCCAACTTCCCATGAAAAACAGCACAACTTCCAACTTTAATGGACCTGTTTCTCTCCTCACATTGCACGTTTCTTCTTAACACTGAAAGCCCTGCCGCCCCCATCCCATCTTCCTGTTTCATTTTTTCCTATTTAACATTTAATGTAACTGCTTGTTTTATTGCTTCTGTCCCCCTCCAAAATATACGCTTCCTGAGATCAGGGTGTCTGTCTATCTTGTCCATTGCTGAACCCTCTCCAGTGAATTTTGGCACAAAAACTCCAGTGTCTTCTTTTCACCATGCCTGGTTAATTTTTTGTATTTTTTAGTAGAGACGGGGTTTCACCGTATTAGACAGGATGGCTCGATCTCCTGACCTCGTGATCCGTCCACCTCGGCCTCCCAAAGTGCTGGGATGACAGGCGTGAGCCACCGCGCCCGGCCAGGAGTCATTCTTAATTGCACCCATTCTCCCACTCCTCCAAAACACCTGCTGCGTCTGTCAGCTTCTCTTCAAGAAATTAACCAAGAGCAGCATTTCTCAAACTGATAGGTGTTCCATTACCACTCCTACAAGAAAACTTCTCACATGTTTTTCCTGATTGTCCCCTCACCCATGAAATTTTACTACAGATATTCTGTACTGTATATTTGCTTGTATAGTGCATGTCTGTTTGAACAAAAATAAGATTTTTTGTCCCCCTAAGAAGTAATGTTTGCTTCCTTGAGGGTGACACCTGCCTATCTTCTGAGCCTGCCATGCTCACCTCCTCCTAGACCACCTTGATGACTTCAATAGCCTTGACCCCAGCCTATTCTCCCTCACTCAATTACAATGCAATGATATCTAGAATGCCTGCTTATTTTTATACAATGGCAGATCCTGTAGCAATACAGTACTGTTAGTATAGAAAGAAATTTTACCTCAAATTTTACCCTCCTTCTACCCTTTTCGTTACCCTCTGATTCATTCTCCAGGATTTATAGATAGTAATCTTTGAAAACATGCCTCATATCATGTAACTTCTTTTCTTTACAGAACTTTCAGTAATTATAATTATGCTTAGATTAAAATCTGAAATTTTAAACATAGCTAGAAGGCACATATTAGCTATCCCTGCCTGCATCTGGAGCCCTGAAACTCTACAGGGTTGAATGAACTCCAGGCATTGTTGGATCCCTTACTGTGGTTGCCTAGAAAACAGAGCAAAGGATTCAAGGATTCGGTGCTAATGCATTATTGGGGGTGCAATCCCAGGGCTGTGTGGTGAGGGAAAGGAATATGGAGCAGGAAAGAGCAGGGAGTGATGCTACATGATTTGTTACCAAGGGGCTCTTCCTTTATGATGAAACAGAAAGAGACATTTGCTTGGCTACATGAGGAGCCTGCCCTTGGACAGTCGCCTGGAGGTGAAAATGGAAGGGGAATTCAGTTGCATTTTGCTCATACCCCACATCCCTCTGGGTGAGGCTTGCTTCACGGAGAGTTCATCCTCCTGCACTTCTGGGCTGCAGCTACCAGCTCCTCCAGCACCTGCTTGAGAAGCCATATCCCACTCCCAGAAGCGTGGGATCTCATCCAAGCCCCGGTGTAGCAAGAGCGCCACAGACGCCTGACCACCAGCTGCTCAGCATCACCTGGAAGAACCTCCTGGTCCTGCGCAGGAATCTGTCAGCCATGGTGGTAGCTGAAGCAGAGCATATAGCTGAGGGTTCAGGGTCAAATAAGGCTGAAAGAACCTGCTGTTGAACTGATGACCTGACCAATCAGCAGTCCTTCTCTGTTATCTGAGCTCCTTATGCTCCACTGCACCCCAGAGTCTTGGTTCAGGTGACACCTTATTGCTTCTTCCTCAGGTAGTAAAATGGGTCCCCAACACCTCACTCACCCTCTTTCCACAACGTCTTTCCTGAGGTTTTCGTTCTGATTTGCTTCTTTGTCTAGCAGCCAAGGTTTTCTGTTTTTGAAGTAGGAATCACAGATACATTATCCCTAAATTTTCCATGTACCTTTATTTTTGATAGAAAGATTACCCTAGAATAACATTCTTGAGTCGCATTTATTTTCCTCTAACGTGTGCATATATTGTTCTACTTGAAATCTGGTATTGAGGGTTCCCCTATTTTGGTTTTCCTTTCTTTCTCAAACATTCTCACATCATTTGGCTGAATTTAGCCCCAAGTTAGTCTTATTTTGTGTTTGTAAAAGAGATTTTTGGTTTTCTATTCCTTGAGATTTTCATTTTTGAGAGTGTCTGCCTTTTTTTTATTCCTGGGTGAGTCTAATATGCTCAATTCACATTTTCTTTTTCTCAGAATTTTGTATAACCATGTTTCACAGATTTATACAGCTGCAGACTATCCTGAGATCATGTGACTTTTTTTCATTTTTGGTTACTATTTTTTCCTCCTCAATACCTAAATAATTATTTCTGTATTCTTGGAAATCAAAAACTTACATGGCTAGTGTTCATTTATTCTGAATTAATATTGCGCAAATACAGTATGTTTTGAAATCTGCAGACTCAATTCTTCCTTTATTTCAGGGTAGTTTTCTTCGATAGTGTCTTCGGGCACAAGTTTTTAGCTCCACAGACAGCGTTCTTTCGTTCAAAGACATCAATCACTCTGTGTGTTCCACGGTCTTTGTGGGTCCTTCATATTTAAAACCTTATCTTTTATTTCTACATGTTCCACCTTAATCACTGAAAACACTTACTCTCTGTCTAAGCTTTAGGTGTGTTTTTGTTTCCATGAGTTTCTAGTTTAATTATTACTCTTGTAGTAGAACAGAGCATCATTTTGATCTATTTATTCCCTCATCTCTGTGAACTTCCTTTTCATCTCATTTTGTCTCTTTCATCATTTCAACTCTGGGTACTTACTTTATTTACCTTGCTCTCCCTTTTTTTCCAAGCAAAGTAACTTTGTGGCACATGTCCTTTTGCGCCTGCTGGGATGCCTTCTATTCCATCTGCTTTTCTGTAGACTGAAGTGACAGGACAGGGATGCAGAGAAGGAAGCTCAGCTCAGGCTGCCTCTTTGTTGAAGGTCTTGAGCCTTCATCCTTCCCCCCCACCCCTTTTTGAGACAGCATCTTACTCTGCTGCCCAGGCTGGAGTACAATGGTGCCATCCTAGCTCATTGCAGCCTCAAATTCCTAGGCTCAAGCAATCCTCCCAAATCATCCCCAGAGTAGCTGGGACTGCAGGTGTGCACCACCATACCTGCCTAATTTTAAAAATGTTTGGAGATGTGCAGTGCCACTATGTTGCCCATGCGGGTCTCAACCTTCTAGCCTAAAGTGATCCTTCTGTTTTGGCCTCCCAAAGTGCTGGGATTACAGGTGTGAGCCACCGTGCCCAGATCTATTTTTTGAGATTTCTATAAATATTTCATTCCAGAAACAATAATGTCTGCAGTCTCATAAACAAGAAAACAGTGCAATGGTAATTCCTTCTTTTCTCTTAAAACAAACGAAAATCAACGAAATCCTTTCCTTTTCCTCCCATCCCCTCCAGACACCTCATCAATCCTCTACTTCCCTTCCTTGAAAAGCTTCTAGAAGAGATGCCTAAGCAGCTAGTTCCATCTGACTTCAGCCAGTGCTCCTCCTCCTCTCCACTTCTTCCTCTTCCCACAAACTGGCCCTGAGAGGTAGCTGTGGCCTCCATCTGCCCACTCAGTGGTCACATCTGTCCTTACCTGACCACTCAGTGGCATTGCCTGCCACCGGCCAGTCCCACATCTGGCTCATTGATTGTTTCCCTTATGGGTGCAGGGCTGGCCCCACCTGCTCAGTCCTTGCTCAGCTTCATCATCACTTCCTAGTGGAGACTGATGCTGACAAGCAAATGCAGGAGCTTGCTGGGCACCTGGGGCCACATCCCTCTCTGTGTGTCTGCTGTGTCTGCTCGCCATCACCTCCCTGGCGTCTTACTGACCGGTCTGTTTAGTATCTGCTGTCCCCACTAGAACATAAGGTCCAGCAGGGCAGGTGATGCCTGTGTGTTCACCAGTTTACTTCCCAGTGCTTCAAATGAACTCCACAAATAGTAAAGATTCAGTACATAGTAGCAACTTCATGAATAAAAAAAAAAAAAAAAAAAAACTAACTGGTAAATATGTGGTAAATATGTAATTTGGAATTGAGAAGTTCTTTCACCAAAAAAATATATTATTGTCAGCAACAAAAACAGTAATTGTGCTCCATAAGAAATGACAATTATACAGAATACTGGACAAAGAATGGGGAGGGGCAGACTCCACCGTGAGATGGCTCTGTCTGGGGACCTGAAGGCAGGAAAGAGAGGGACAAGTCCACAGAGCTGAGCCAGGTCCCTAAGGCTGGCCTCACACACTCAGAGCTCTCTGTGTAATAAACTGACATGGAACATGCCTTCTACACTCTAGTTTCTTTGGAAACTGAAGAGATCTAATTGTTATTTGTAATTTGAAAGTATCGCTGCCTATATTTGCTGTAAATGTTCCATTATTTATGCCCCAAAACATATTCTTTGAACACTGCCATGCACCACCATCCACGCAAATATTTTGCTGAAGGCACTGTTTTTGAACAAATGAGAAATCACCATGACAATCCCAAGATAATATTTCACCCAGCAATGTCTTCCAACAAAGCATACCTTTGTCTTAAATTATCCAAATCCAAATGGTCTTGCCAAGAAAAGACTTACTTTATGAATATGTGAGGAACAATAGCAAAGAAACAAGCCATTGTCTTTCCAATTAAAGTTATGACTAATGTAGTGAAAATAAATTGAGATTTCCAAAGAGAGGCACAGAGGCTGAGGAAGATAAGTGAGCATCACGGGTTTTGCTGGTTGCAGGAAGAGACAGCAGACGTAAAGCTTGAAACTGAAATTGCATGTTTAGAATCTAAATCTAAAACACAAAATCAGAAGATGGTAGAAAACCCCTCAGAGGAGGGCAGAGCTCCTACCTGTGGCCAAATAGATGATGTGGACGAGCGCTTCTCTGCCCTGCACCACGTCGACGGCCACGTGGGAAAAGCGGCTATTGTCCTCCATGAAGGAGGGCACTGTGGTCACCGGCTGCACCACCTCATGCATCAGAATGAACTTCTGAGCATCCTGCAGATTTCTCTCGGTCAGGTTCACGTACAGGCCCTGGTCCACGGTGCCGCACTGCAAGGGAAGACAGGCCGGGTTACCAGAGCCAGCAGCCTGGACACGCACAGCTGGCGGTGGCCATCCTAGCTGGAGAGTCACTTGGAAATCCAGTAAGCCACAATCCATGATTGAAGTATGCAAACATGTCTGCTTCTCCATTCTTCCTGCAGCCCCTGTCCTTCGCATCCTTTTCATGTTAGATTTGAACTGATATCTTGGGAGTCTCCCAACATCCTCATAAATGAACTGATCAGAAGTTTAAAAAAATGAAAGTGGGACTGATTGCTAACTTCAAACAGTAGATGCATAGAAACTCCTCCTTTTCTGTCGAGTCACTTGAAAGCTGCGTGGCTAAACACATACTATTATATCTGTCTAATCAATCCAGTAGCAAATTGAAAATGCAACAATCAAGAATCTCATATAGATGTATTAGTTTTTCTACTGTAGCAGGGCGTCTGTAAGCAAGACATAGATTTCAAGGTGATAGCATTAGGTCATTCTAATCTGTAAAGCAGAACAGCGTTCACATGGGCTACAAAAATACTGTGCTCGCCTTATTGCTTTGAGCTTGTATTTCAAATTAGAAGAAATTATTTAAAAAGGTTTAGAGTCCAGGAATATGGAAAAGAATGTGGCAAATTTATAAGAAGAATGGGAAATGAGGAGGTGAGGGAAATGAGGAAGGAAAGGAGAGGAGGGGAGAAGAGAGTAGAAAGGAATAAAGAAGGAAGAAGGAAGGAGAGATATTTCAGATAGAGCAAGTATCATGGAGATGAATCTGGGATGTGCAAGGGGAAAATCAGCCCTGTTGCTGGGAAATAAATTCAGAGCTGTGCTGTGGGGAGGCTGGCAGGTGTTATATAAGACTGTTTCTGGCAAGGATGAGGTAAAAAGAGGGATAGAAAGGAAAGCACAGCTTTATTAGAGCCAAGCTCAGAATCAGAAAACTGCTACCAACCTTTCTCATGTCTTTCATAAACTTTAATTCCTGGTACAAATGGTGACTGATCCCCAGTAGAACTTCACATAAGTAAGTTTGATGGAAAAGAATTTCCAGGCCCATGCCACCTGAAACTACTGTTTATAACATGTCACATCTAATATGAGGTTTTATAACAGGTGAAAGGTACAAATGTGTACGATGGAAATTGCTTTTTTTAAAGTAGACTTTTTTTTTTTTTTTTTTTTTGAGACAGAGTCTCGCTCTGTCACCCGGGCTGGAGTGCAGTGGCCGGATCTCAGCTCACTGCAAGCTCCGCCTCCTGGGTTTATGCCATTCTCCTGCCTCAGCCTCCCGAGTAGCTGGGACTACAGGTGCCCGCCACCTCGCCCGGCTAGTTTTTTGTATGTTTTAGTAGAGATGGGGTTTCACCATGTTAGCCAGGATGGTCTCGATCTCCTGACCTCATGATCCACCCGTCTTGGCCTCCCAAAGTGCTGGGATTACAGGCTTGAGCCACCGCACCCAGCCTGACAATATTTGTACAGCATTTGATAAAACGCTCCATATGCCATAAAATGATAGGATGGTTGTAGACAAAGAGAATCTGAGAGTTAAATGGATTTCATGCATCCAGTCCAAGGCTTAATTTAGTATCACACCCTTGCAGGGACACCCCGTGTTCCACAGGCAAAGACTGTGTGAGTTTAGGTGAGGGGCTCTGCCCTGCCGTGACCCGAGTGCTACTCTGCCTTCATAGCTCTCAAGCCACATGGAATCAGGTGAGTGGTAACTCTCCTGCCACATGGTCTGAGGTGAGGTCTGGCCTCTCAGTGTCTGTCTCTTTACCTGTCTGTCCAGCGGCTAGGAAAATAATGACTCTGCTCAGTTCTCAGGGCTACTGCGAGACCAGCTGAGATGATCCATGGAAAGCATTTGTAAATTCACTGAAAGTCCTTACAAATGCCAAAGAACAAGACAATGTGCCTGGCACTAAAGAGAAGCCATTCAACTCATGGTGAATGGTGAATGGTAAATGCATTGGTCTTGGAGCAGGACAGCAATTCTGTGGTCTGTTGAGTTTCAGTGACCAGAGGAAAATGAGTGTATAAACAAAGAAGGGAAGGAAACACTGAGTGAATATGCGAGCAGTCGTAATTAGGGGGTGAGGGGATGTGCTAGGAAGTCTTATATAATTACAGTATTGAACAGTAACATTTGGAGGTCAGGACATGTCCTTACCTGTCAACACATGTTTTGCAAAATGAAAAAGAGCTCTCCTAGGCTTGATCTAATGACTACGCAGGTGAGTGCTAGTTCTGAGCATGGCGTTACGTGTGACGGTTTACATTCCTGAAATCAGTGGTGATATCTAAAGTACAGTGGCAATTAGCTGTCTACGTTCTGGGTGAAGTTTGCACACAGGTCATGTTTTGTAAGTACAGTGTTTAAAAAAAAAATTGGTAGCATGAAAACCAGGAGGCATAATATAAAAATGAGAATCTCTTGCTGTTCTTAAGGAACTCAGAGAAATTGGAGACCTAACAGGGAGTTCTCAGTGGCAGGGGTGAGGCAGGATCACTCACCATGCCTTGTCATCTTTATTTATATGCCGCTTGTATCAATCTTATTTGTGACTGCCAGAATTGCCAATAATTGGTTTTGAGGTATACTCTACTGCTTTTTGGTTTGTTTTTGCTGGCTATAATGAATACTCCACCCAGTGCTTCTATTTCAGATAGTTGGAAGAGTATTCAGAGTTATAGAACCTATGTATTGGATTGTAAGCAACTCACCGAGCTCTCTAATACCTGAAAATTTTCTAGCCTTGCCTTTTATGCTGAACTCCCATTGTGTCTGTGTGGGGCACGGTGTAATGCCCTGGGTTCACCATGCAAGAAGAAAACAATAAAAATAATAGAAGCACAGCCAAGCTCTCATGTGCTCTACAATCCACAACCAGTTTTCATGCCAACATCTCTTCAAGTAATTCGTCAGTAATTCTACTATTTTTTTAAATGATAATAAATATTTGCACTTTTGTTTATTTACTTGTTTCTAGGACAACAAATCCATTCTTGTTCTAGCACACTAGCACATGGTGGTCAAGCCCACAATCACCTAACCTGCTGCAGGAGTGCCCAATTTAATCAGCCCCTTCGTGCACTCACTCCCTTGCATCTTGCTGCAAACATGCTGGGCGGGCCAGGGGGTGGTGGCTCACATCTGTAATCCTGGCACTTTGAGAGGCCGAGGCAAGTGGATCACAAGGTCAGGAGTTCAACACCAGCCTGGTCAAGATGGTGAAACCCCGTCTGTACTAAAAACACAAAAATTTGCGGGGTGTGGTGGTGGGCACCTGTAATCCCAGCTACTTGGGAGGCTGAGGCAGAGAACTGCTTGAACCCAGGAGGTGGAGGTTGCAGTGAGCTGAGATCACACCACTGCACTCTAGCCTCGGCAACAGAGCAAGACTCTGTCTCAAAAACAAAACAAAACAAAACAAAACAAAACCTGCTTTGCATATCAAAGGGTTCTAATGGACAGGGTCAGATCCCTGCACTTGCTCCTCCAACAACTGCCTCTTCATCCACTTAACTACATTTGAGGGTCTATTTGTCCGTTTCAACTCCATCCTTTCTGAGTGACACTAATCAAAGTTGCACAGGAAATTCTGGAGTCTGTCACAGCTCAGCTGTGCCACTAGGCCTGGGTGACGTTTTACATCAGTGATTGTCACGTGTCTTACCGAGGGTCAGGATCTGGATGACTTTGAGGACTGCAGTCTCTAAGAGGGCAGGGCTCTGAAGCACCATCTAGAGTGGTTTACATATTTTGTCTGAGAAAAGTGACTTTTTGTTGTTTTGTTACTGTTTTGAGATTTCTATATAAAATGTTGAAATATCATGCACCATCTCTCCTAACCCATTCTTCTTCCTGAATCCAAATCTACTTTCTGCTTCTCTGATTAATTAGCTACTTCTAGTATGTAAGTACTGCACAAACTTCTAAATGTCAGTAGGAAAAACAAGAATTTTAAAAATCTAACCACTTTCCGTTGTTGGTTATTGCAAACGTAAGGCCTCTTCTACATGTCTGGGGAGGGATCCTTAGTTCGAATTGAATTCTCACTCTATGCCAGTCTGGATGGTTTCATGAATGTCAGTGAGGATACTTTGCCAGTGTGGTTATCAAATAGAGTAAACATAAAGAAACCACTTGCTACATACTTGTACTAGGAGTTATACAAAGAACCACCATAATCTGTAACTTGAGCTCCACTGGAGTCTTAAATAATACTCAGAGAAGAGACGCTCAGCAATGCAAGCTTCCTGCCTGAAACACATGCCAATTTCTGCATGCTTCATTCATTATGCTACAGGGACCGGCTTCCATCCCATAATGAGAGTAAGCCCGTCAGTGTGACACTGGCATTATAAAACCAGGCACTCCAGGCCTTAGGAAATGAGATTTGCTCTGTGCTAGAAATGTATCCAGATGAACGGGCTACAAGGTATCCACTGCCTGGAGGTGGTAAGGGGCTACGAAGTTTACTAAGCCAGGCTGTTCACAGTAAAGACTTTTGCAATAAAAACATCAGTGTATTGAAAATATGTTATAAATACAGTAAGCATTATTATTTAACCTTCAGGATTTTATTATACAAAGGACTTTCTTAAAAGGAGTGTTTCCTGTACGTAAGAGGAGAAAAGGAGACAAAATATGCATTTACACAACATGTGATACGTAGAAAGCACCAAATAAATGATTCATTTTTGTATTTTTAGAGACAGGGTCTTGCTCTGTCACCCAGACTGGAGTGCAATGGATGGATTATAGCTCACTGATTGAACTCCTGGGCTCAAGCAATCCTCCACCTCAGATTCCCAGATAGTTAGGACTATAGGTGTGTGCCCCTATGCCTGGTTAATTTTTTTTTATTATTATTTTTGTAGAGATAGGGTCTCACTCTGTTACCTAGGCGTGGCTCGAAATCCTGGCCTCAGGTGATCCTCCTGCCTTGGCCTCACAAAGCACTGTGATGACAGGTGTGAGCCTCTGTGTCCAGCCCCTAAGAATTGTATCTATCAAATATTTTATACAGTAAACAATGCACATTAATCAGTGTTATCAAAATTTACTCCTAAACTATATGCATGCATTTTTATCCCTCTCCCCTTTTTTTGATGGAAACATGCAATAAAGATGCATAATAGATAGATATGTGATAAAAATGCACATAATTTGCTCAAGGAAAGCAGCACACGGCAAGATGACATGTAAGCCAGCCATCCTATTTTTAATTCCATGCTCCTTCAAAAACTTAAAGACAACAACAAACACAAAACTCCTTCAAAACAACCATAATTGAATGGTCCTTGCAAAAATCAAAGTAAAGTGTAAAATCATTGAAACTTTCCATACTCCCAATTGTGGGAGTTCCAGATACAGTACCCACTTCTACCACTGATTAGTAATAGTAACTAATGGTCATTTAGTTGGAATAGGCTAGGATTTTGCATCTGAGGATGAGGTTGAGATCCTCCCTTGGCTACCAATCGGCTGTGT